TGCGTGGGAACGGGAGGGGGACGACTACTCTCAGCAGTGGGAGAGCTCCAGAAGATAAATTATAGAAGTATGTTCTGTTTGGGCTAAGTCAGAATATTTTCGAGTCACGGGTCTACATTTCAATACTCGTAAAATTCAAGGAAACACTGGATATAACAGAGTACTTAGGACTTTCACCTATCGCTCCAAATTCCTTTCGCCTAAAAACACTACATCCAACCCTCTTCCGCAGAGCTGTTTTGCTTTGTTTCGGCTGTTTTAATTCCTCTTATAAACTGTAAATGGTGGCCACGGCATGAAATGTCTTCACTAGCTCCAACGCTGGGATCATCGGTTCGAATCCCACTCAAGGCACAGACGTCTGTTTGCATTCATTGTGTCTTTGTGTTAAGTAGCGGTCTTGTGACGGGCTGATTCCCGTCCAAGGAATCCTACCGACTATCTAAGATTAAGAAACTGAAGTGAAACGAAGCGTTTCACGGATGCTCTATGCTCCAAAGTGGAAGCAACAGGAAAATAATTCTTTCCAACTTGTGACAGGAAAATTCCTTTTCAGAAAAATTCAATGCAGAAAAAACAGAAGTGATATTACCAGAAAACAATAATACGCACACAAGCTGACAATGTGCCGTTATATTCTTACTTTCCATTAGCGTTTCCTTATTAAGAAGTTCCAAAATATTGAGGGGGAGGGATTTTTATTAACTTACATCATGCATTCTTGGGAAGGGAGGAATTCTCCGATAAAGACAGGTTCATAATTTAATCTCGTTCCATTTCAGTCGAGCGCTGTTGTGGAAGCATATGAGAGAAGTTATAGAGGACAAGTTCTTCCCCAAACTTTTTAATGATATTACAAGCACGTGCAAGTCTACAAAACTACGTAACCAAAACTCCAATATTAATTATACTGTGTCCCTTAATTGAAATACAGGGTGTTTCACGACTTTAGGGCATAACTACAGGAGGTGATTTTCTAGGTCTTTGTGAACAAAAAAGTTCATATAAACATGTGTCCGATTTTGGACGGTTACGGAGTTATGACCGTTTTAAACTCAGAATAAAAGGTAACGATTACTGACAAACGGAAAAAAATAATAAACCAGCACAATACATGATACATCTAAAGTATGAATGTAAAGTTAACTTCGTGAAATTACATTTAATTTGAATTTATTGGTGCTTAAAGCTGATTTTCGAAAACGCCACCGCCGGCCGAAACACAGGCTGCCGCTCGATTGTGAACCGCGCGCGTACATACCAACCCACCCCGCCTTAGGTAGCTCTCAAGTGTCGAGATAACGAGAACGCCCTGTCTGTAGCTGGCTAAAAATAGCGACCCGCCAGATGACAGACGCGGTTCACACGACGGCGTGTACGGGAATGAAAAAAGGTCATAACTCCGTAACCGTCCAAAATCGGACACATGTTTATATAAACCTCCTGCAGTTATGCCCTAAAGTCGTGAAACACCCTGTATTACAACATATACTATAAAAGTAATACTCGTGGAATATTCGACGGGAAGTATAATTTTTATATAAATTTTAGTGATATTAACGGGGAGCCTGGTTAGCGCTGTCGGTATAGCTACTGGCGACAGGATGGACGACCAAAGTGGTCCGCATTCGAGTCCCGGTGGGGGGCAACAATTTTTCACTTCTCAATGTCGTCCCTACCCATTCCGGAGTCCATCCAGGCTATGGGTACCGGCGGTAAAGCGGTCGGGGCGTTAAGCTGACCACTCACCTCAAGCTAGTACCAAGGTCAAGAAAACGTGCGTCTATACACCTACTCCTCCATACGCCTTCATGGTGTAGTGCTTAATTAGTTAAGCATAGGGACAACTTTATCTTTTTTAAATGTATTCATGGCCGCGCCACAGTTCAAGCGGTTAGTCGCTGGCTTCCCACCGCGGCGGCCCGGGTTCGATCCCGGGTCTGGTCAAGTGGGATTTGTGGTGGACAAAATGGCGTTGGGGCAGGTTTTCTCCGAGTACTTCGGTTTCCCCTGCCAATCTTCATTCCACCAATTGCTCCACAATCACCCTCACCTATCATCTGGGGCTGGTACAATAGGCCAGAAGTGGCCGCAGTACAAGGGACTTACTCCCACCCCACTAGCAATAAAAAATGTATTCATCATTTCGTGTTTCTAACATTAGACTCTTGTTTTCTTTGTTACGAAATGTGGAGATAGACCCACTAAGTATTAAGGTGACGATACATTGCAGAACTGGCGTTATCAATAAATTACTTCAATCTGGGACAGCAACAGCTCAACAATGCGTGACGCTCCCAGTGAGTATACGTGCGCCATTTCTGCCAACCTTAGCTATTAATCGTCTTATTCTTACGTGCACTGGATTTCCCTTCCTCACGACTCTGACCTCAAGTAAACACACGCAGACATTTGGTTTCAGAGCTCACTGTGGTGCGAAGCGATATAAAAGTTATTAACACGTAAAGCTCAGTCTTCTTATCGAATTAATTTTAAAGTAATTATTGTGAAGTCAATTCTTTATTGGGATCCGTCGTAACACAACGAAACGGTCTAGGTCAAAGTCACCTTAGCTATATGTTTCGGCTTTTAAAGCCGTCATCAGGCAAATACATGGTTATTGCACTCACACACTATTGAACTGCATTTCAATGTGACAGTAGAGCTGGTTACTTGTCAACTGTGTTACACTATAATAATACAAGGTATGAAAATACAATAAAATTATTATAAAACGAAAGTTATACAATAAATTATGGTTAAAAACTATTTATGTAATGTTTCATATTACGAGGTCAGTGATGCAATCTTGTTGTTATATTCCAGAGGACAAATAGCGGTATATTCATGACTTGTACATGAATAGTTAACTGCTTGGAGGCCCGTTGTATTGGTGTAGTAGTATTATTTGGTATTAATTGTTTGGTCCGTGCCTCATTTGCCTGATGATGGCTTTAAAAGCCGAAACATGTAGCTAAGGTGATGCTGACCTAGACCGTTTCGTTGTTGTGTTACAACGGATACCAAAAGAATTGTATATCACTTACTTACTTACTCATGTAGCTGAGCCCTTCTGGAGGAGCCGCCAATTTTCCAGCTACTCAAGAATTTCCCAGAATTGTATGGAACCCGATCGTTCATTACCGTGTTCACAAGAGCCCTCCACTGGTCCCTATCCTGAGCCAGATCAATCCAATCCATACCATCCCATCCTATCTCTCGAAGATCCATCTGAATATTGTCCACCCACCTACGCCTTGGTCTTCCCAGTGGTTCTTTCCTTATATACTCGTAATAACACGCCAAAATACACCCAATGAAAATTACTGTAAAGTCTTTAAATGTAGTATATTAGGTTTAGAAAAATATAATCGTTAGTTATCCAAGGAGATTTAATTGTAATTAAGTTCTGGGTTACCCAGTCTTTAATTAATAAATAAAAAAAGTCTTTAAGACTTCATTTATATAAACTGAACGATGAATTCATTCATAATACTCTGGGCCAATTGGCGGTCACTGCTTCTTGGACTCGTTAGACCGGACCAAGGTCCCGTTATAGATAACAGTGCAGAACCAAGAGAACTAGGCGGTCAAGGTGCCTCTGAATTCTTTGTGTTCACCGGAAATAAAGAAAGGTAGTGCCTATTGTTACGGATTTCTATGTGAATCTAGTCTTTATTTTATAAAGGTAACCGGATACTACGGCACGGAACTTTGTGTAAAGTTTCCTGCTAAGTTCTCTCCTACTGTAACGTGTAATCAATCTGGAAACAGAGCATGCAGTGATGGGAAAACAAGGTGAACCGATCTATTGTCTGGGTAGGGCACTCATACCGTGAGGAAATTACGAAATTCTGTGATCTCTGATAGACACTAGGCCTATGTTAAGGTAATCTGTACACTAAAACAGACAGTACTCCCAGCTCATCGCTCCGTACAATGAGTGGGTAAAATTAGCTTTTAATGGAGAAGTCTTCTATCTTGTTCATATTTCTGAAATTACTATGACAAGTTTGATTAAATTTGGTATTCTACATTAAAGTTAATGAGTAAAATTTAATTTTGATTTATATCGCGAGGCAGGAACAGAATCTTTAAATACAACGTGATTCAAAATTCCATAGCATGTAATTTTTCAACCGGAAATAATTAAATAAAACTGCTTAAGGAATATGAAAGTGAAATTAAAAAAGTTTTGTTCGTCGAACGTTCTACTCGCCGCACTCATATCTTAGAGAAAATATGACGTCATACTTCCAAATTGCGAGTGTTCAAGAAGAAAGCAAAGTGTGTACTTCGGTTTTACGAAAACAAAGTCCGTTATCAAAACGCAACGTCGTTACAGAACTCAAAACGGAAAAGCTCCACGTTCAGATAATGCTATCCGACTTTAGTTAAAGCAATTTCAAGAGACTGGTAGTGTACTGCACCTAAAAGGACCGGAAAGACAGAGCACTTCGCAGGAAGTTGTTGATCGTACCCAGAAAGCGTTTCCTCGAAGACCACAAAAATCACCTAGACCAGCTTCTCTGCAGTTTGGCACATCACAAACGACTGGAGGTTGTTCATAACCGCCTTCACCTCCATGCCTACAAAGTGCAGTAAGCAGTTTTATTTTGTTGTTTCCGGTGTCAAAATTATAGGCCACGGAAACCCCTGGCAATAATTTAGAATCACCCTGTATATTTAAATGAATTCCGTACTTAGAAGTAAAAGGGTCAAGATACCAGGCTTTTAAGCAAAACTTCCAGTGTGTTGGTATTGGAACTTAGAGTTCAGTCTCTATGTTGTTTGAAAACAACAGGAAATGCATTTCCTCTTCCTATATATGTGTTTACTGGAACAACAAATTCTGAAAAGACAAGATAAACGCTTCCAGCGATGTTTCTCAACGTACGGAATGAGCAGAGATTTCTTTCGGAAGTGGGTAATTGTGCCTCAAAGCTAACTTAGTAACTTGTTCATCCCAGTGAAACACAAATGTTCTGATGTGCTCGTACCTGAATTCTGTACTGTAGTCGAAGTCCAGTTCACGTGACCTGAAACAGAAACGAGACAACATGAAATAAACGAGTTACCATGTAAATGTAAAAATGTGTAATTTGTGTCTTTGAAGTACTTCTTGGAGAATTCATCCAAATAATAATATACTTGGGAAATTCTGTGATAAGAATCTGTAAGGACAAGCAATCCTTGTTACACAATCTTCTACTGTAGCTCAAAGAATTAAGTAAATTTTAAAAATCCACTTCATCGGGAATCGAACCGGCGACCTTCCGGCTTGTAGCCTAGTGCCTCAACCAACTACGATACCGCGTACCCCGTAGCTAGGTTACAATTAATTCAATTAACTTTACGCTAATGAAGGGCATACGGTAGCGAGTACTTCGGTTTACCTGCCAATCTTCATTCCACCAATTGCTCCACAATCACCCTCACCTATCATCTGGGGCTGGTACAATAGGCCAGAAGTGGCCGCAGTACAAGGGACTTAGTCCCACCCCACTAGCAATAAAAAATGCTACAAGTCGGAAGGTCGCGCGCTCGATTCCTTGTGAGGTGGAGTTCTTCAACTGATCTAATCCTTCCAAACCGCTCTATGGCCTGGGGTCAACTCAGCCTCTAACAGAAATGAGTACCAGGAATCTTCCTGAAGGTAAAGAACAACTTCACCGCCATCTGTGAGCCGATTGTCTAGAAAATGTACGAGCCTCGACGTCTCACAACCCTATGGGCCACCATAGCCTGTTACAGGGAGAGCATTACCTTTACCTTATCTCATGCTATTGAATACATGAGCTTGAAATAACTTGTGTCTGTGCGCCTGAGGGTGAGTGTGCGTGAGTGACTGTGAATGAATGTGAGTGTGCGTATGTGTGTAGGAAGAAGAGCAACAATTTCCATGAAGACAACCGTTCTTCAACCAGAAACCAAACCGGGTAACTGCCGATCCTCTCGCATTGCGTCTATGTAAATCAGTCGATAGTTTTCTGTAATGTAATGTAATGTCATGTAAAAAATGAAGCGACTCGAACATGTGCAGGAAAAACAGAACATTTCAACGTAGTCCTACTATTGGAGTGAGGGAAGAGAATTTACTATGTTGTGAGTATCTGCACTATGAACGATGATAAATGAATAATGAATTGGTAAAGGTTTAGGAGGAAGCGATAGTGCCTTGATATTTTGCCTGGAGGGGCTGAGGAAAACCACGGAATCCTTCACTTGGCCTTCCTTCGACGAAACTCGAACCTAGTACGTCCCGTAAATTAGTGCGTTTTCATATAATCATACAAATATCTGTAAGAGTAGATATCTTCTGGGCGGTGACTCCGTGCAGACCAGTAGAAGCATACTGATGTTTGGGAGAGAAATACTGCCTTCATCTTCAGGGTCGTATAATAATTCCAGGAAGTTAGTGGCAAAGAGGAAAAGGAACGATGAATTTCCTATGGTTGTTGCGCATTTAATCGGTTAATTTCTCGACCCTGAAGATGGAAGCAGTATGTTCTCTGAAATGTCCGTAATAGCATCACATTCCAGAAGACTACACTTAATAGTCACGGCTGTGAGAACCTCAAATTTGTCATGTATACAGCACAATACTTTTTTTTTCCTTGGCACTACAGCCCCAGTGGGCCTAGGCCTACCTCCATGAACTTCTCCGTTCACTTAGGTTTTTCTAGATCTTACACATTCGGTAGGACTCCTTGGGCGGGTGATCAGCTCGTCGCAAGGCCTCTACCTGTACACAAACACAGAAAAACGCACACACACAAACTAAACATCCATGCCCTGAGTGGGATTCGAACCCATGATCCCGGTTTCCAAGCGAGCGAAGACAGTACATGCCGCACAGTACTTAGGCCAGATTTATTTACCCAGTGAAACTGTATCGCAGAATAATCTGTAGGAATGGAGCGGTGAGATGAAAGGTTTCTCTTGTCTTCAAGCAAGAACAGTTGGGCTGAGAGACAGAGAAGCGAAGCCGTGGGAGTCTTACAGCTTTCATCTGGGCTTCCTGCGACTGGATTTGATTGTACGAAATAATGGCATTAGGTTCCAGTGGTTGTAGCAGATACCCAGACAGCAAGAAGTCGTGCTCCGGGCGAGAGAGAGAGTTGCTTTCATTAACGTTATAATTTAGCACTTCCATATAACGTTCCGTTGCAGTAATATAAAAGACAAACTTTTTAATATTTCTTCCAAGACAATTTTGTTCCTGAATCTTAACTAACAAATTAAGTAAAGAAGAGACGTGAATATTACTTGTCTACCAACATTACAAACTCTTAAAATAAAAAGTGTGAAATTTTGTGTATCTGATTCAGTTTAAATGTAGCCTTGGTCTTGGTGTTAGTAGGAGTCGGGATGGCTCAGTCGGTATAGCGACAGATTATGTGACCGACGGCTGGGCTTCGATCCCCTTAAGGGGCAAGATTTTGATCTTCTCCACAGCCAATAGGCCGGCTCTGGGGCCCACCTAGCCTCCTACCCAATATGCACTGGGGGAAGCAAATAAATAAAACAAACTACTAACTGCAACGTTTATTTCGATGAAGCAGGATGGTGTAGTGGTTACTATTCAGATTAAAATTAGTTTTACATTCTGCTAGAATGGGCCGAACTGTTTGGGCATGGTGAGATTTCCGCTTTTCTCGTCCGATCCTTCCACTTGTTGGGCTGTTCTCTTCAAATCCCCCTTCCTACCAAATACTTATTCACTATTCATGATCAGGCCTTCTTCTCCTCTTGAGGCGCAATACGCTCAGGGTAATCCGAGGGCTCTTCCAGCGGAGAGGAAGCCGAAGTTATGAATGTGTGCTGAGCGTTCATAGTCTTGCGTTCAGGTCCATGGACATCTTCCCAAGGAATCGTCTTGGAATGCTTACAGAACGTAGCGTTTTCTGAAGATCGATCCAATAACAGAAGAAACCCACTGAAACGTTTTAACGAAAAGAACGGACGTGAATTTCTGGAATCAGTAGCTACTGCGCAGGTGCTGCATCTAATCATACAGACCTTTTCGCATACATGAAACTGTTCCTTCGTCCGATCAGCCAAGCAAGTACAGCCCGCAGCCGTTGCATTTATTCAGGTTGCTTAGTATTGACCTGCGCAGCTGTGGGGACTGTTTCTTCTTTGCGGAGCGATACAGCATGTGTGACATATTCCTGTATGAATGAATGAACAAAAGTTAATGGCGTAATGGATCCGGTTCGCGCATGTGTGAAGATCACTGCAGGCCTGTGACGTTTCATTGCTCTGGCCTTTTCCAAGTCCTGACACAGCGTGATGCAGTCACGTGGATAGCTACCCTATTATTTTTTTATTGCTAGTGGGGTGGGACTAAGTCCCTTGTACTGCGGCCACTTCTGGCCCGCTTGAGCTGTGGCGCGGCCATAGTTACCCTAAATCTGCAGCATGTTCGATGCTTACAGTTTTATTGGGAAAACTGTACTCCAATCTGGAGTACATATTTTTGTGGGTTATTTAACGACGCTTTCAGAATTTGATGGAGTGATGATGGTTGAGTTGGAATGGATGTAGAACGTAACTGTCGTGGCCTAATTGAGGGTACTAATATCCCGGAATATGCCTGGAAGGGCTAAGGAAAACCACGAAGAACCTCAATCAAGATAGCCCGAATTATACTCGAACCCAACACCTCACGAACACAAATACAGTGTCACGTTTAAGGGTGACTATTAACGGGTTTTGGATTGGATTTATTGACCGCTTATAAACACCAATCAGGACTACATGTAATTACAGAGCTATTGGTATATCCACACTTCATAGTTCACCGCTACACACATTAGTGCTCCCCGTCTTCAGTAGTCGTATCCTGGCAACGGATTTATAACAGTATCGCTGTAACTGCAGAACACTATGAAGACTTCTTTGCACAGCATAATTCCTTTCTTTTCATTTTTTCTCAATTTTTCTGCCAACAGCCAACTCCGGAAACTCCCTCAATTCTTATTCTCTGCTGCAACTGCAATCTCTTCTCCCCTTCGCAGATCACAACTCTCAACTGGCTCCCTCAGTTCATATTAGTTAACATTGTTATTTGGCAAGCTCTGTTCTTAGCCTATGTCAACCTTCTGAGCCTACAAATGTGTTGGTTCGCCACACACACACACACACACACACACACTATTAACTATCCACTTTCTCCCTTATTCCTTTCCATCACCGACAAACTATCGAGTGATACTTGAGGCTGAAGTTTAACGCAATCTCCCACGAATGATACGCACAAGTATCCAATCGTAAATCGCCTCTTTAATACAGTGTACAATACTTCATATATCCAGATAAAAATATCAGTATTCGCAAAACAAACACGAAACAGTGACACAAAAGACTGCTCTCTCGTTCGCGACCCATTACATAAATTTACGTTCATGCAGCTTCACGCCGCTCGACTGCTCGTTGCTATGGTAACCAGTAACCTCTCATCTCACGCTTACAAAATTTTATGTAGCATAACTAAGTTTTGAATGTAATATCAATAGACGAATACGAAACGTTGAAGTTCTCATGATGGTGACTGTACTGCTGTCTTGTATGTGGGGTATGACGACATGTTTCGTAGATACCTAGGTGCTCCTTAACAGGTTGAGCTCACTGCCAGTCAAAGGTCACGATATGAAAATAAAAACATCAGTACAAATTAATTCTAGTTTAATAAAAATAAAAGGACAAAGTCTGTAAACTTTGCCGTCCCAGGCAGTCGAATGTTTCGGCTGCGCTACAGCGACCATCCTCTATGTAATAAGGGGTGGGAAATAAAAAGAAATACAAGACGAAAGAAGCAAGAAAAGGAGGGAGGAAGAGACGGTAAGGAAAGGACGAACGAAGGAAGAAGAGGGAGGGAACTGCAAACAAATGGACGATGACACAAGAAGAAAGAGACTGTAAATAAATAAGGAACGAAGGAATGAGAGGGAGGAAAATAATAAAAATGCAGAAAGAGATGGGGAGGTAGGGTAGAAATGGAGGTAGTAAGCATGTAGTCAACAAGCGAACTCTA